CCCTCCTTCCACTAGTGATTACGCCAGGGATGGAAGTGCGAAGCTTCGCTCCTGAGAAAATCATTGCTTAAGAAGTAAGCACACCTGGCTCATTGCTGAGGTACTTAAACTGAGAATAATTTCTAAAAAGCTTTCAGATTCAGATGGAGTTGTATTTACAGCTCGTATACAGCACCTGTCAGTGAAGGCTTCCTGGTGATGCTGACCCCAGCCACATAAGCGCCCACACTATCAGTTGCTCCTCTATTTGCTAAGCTTTGATCAAGCGCCTCAGTGGTGCTGCTTCACAGAAGAAAAGCTTGACCCATAAAACTTTGCCTGGTGTTTTAGCAGCACCTCCTTCAACGGAAAGACCAGAATTTGTAATGGCACAGTATGGGAATGAGTGTCCGAGTACCGATGCACCTGTGAACAAAAAATTAACACTGCAGAAACTTCCTTTGAAAATGCCAGAGTTGAGTGTGTGATCCAAACATGTCTGCAACGGCTGCAAAGAGATTTTGAGTCACGTTTTTTCGGAAGTGGCTAATAACAAACTCATGATTCTGACTGTGACACAGAAAACGGAAAATGACGTGACCTTTTGGAGTGGATGGGTAGAACTTGAAAGAGAGATGATCTTCAGGAAGTTCATTCACGGCCCTAAGGACATTTGCTATGCTCTCCGGGCTGGAGGCTATTGGGCTGACTTCATCGTCTGGTTTGGCATTTTTTGGACCATATGCAAACAACACGCTTTTTGAAACAGATGAACGTTGCCAGCATTTAGGATTCTATGTTGATGTCCTTGGCTGCTGTAAAGTGACCCGACACAGTCTCCGCGGTACTCAGGTGTTTGGAGGAAGTCTCTTCCCTCATGCAGCAGCAGACAGCCATACACGCTGAAGCTCAGTGGAGCCTAGCCATGCCCTGTGATTATTGCAGCTCTGTCTGTCTCTGTATAAACACTGTTGAGGAAGGAACTCGGCTTCTAAGGGATTCTGGTTTCTAGGTCTTTATTTCATCATTTATGGGTTTACATCAGCAGGTGGCTTAGATTGCAATATTGCAAATGCTACTCATATTCTTGAGTATGTGTTGAACACACCCATGTTCTGCAGTATGTGGTCATCTACAGTTAACCACATGGTATGTATGGTCTCTTATTGTTAATTCTCCCCTTTATTGGAAAAACTTTATTAGTTTAATTATTTTTCCAAAAATAAATCACACATTTTGCTATGAAAAAAAATCATGAAAAAAAAAAGAAAAAGAAAAACAGCCAGAAATTAAAAAGAAGAAGAAGAAAGTTAGCTGTAAAAGAAGCTGCATCCTGGCAAGGAGACTCGTGAAAGCAGTCCTGGGGGAGCTGACTACATGGTCCTTCATCTTGACTTAGCATTGCATCTTTCATACAGAAAATTTGAAGTCTTTACTGTTAAGCTGACATGTATCTAGATACTAAGACAGTGACATGCTCAGTTTGAGTCAGGACTGTTTGAAAGCAAACTGTTTGCAAAGCCATACTTTAAAATACCTGGTAAAGAGAGGAAACACTGCCAGGAGGCAACCAGAATGCAGAAAAGCATAAAGGCTTCCCAGCTTAGGCTAAGGGCGGCTTCTACTTTGCCACACTGTCCCCAGCGCTGGTGAAAGTGCGGGCCCCCTCCTGCGTGGGTCTAGAGGCCTCTATGGAAACATCAGCAGAGGGCAGGGCAGGGAAGCTGGTGATCAGGCAGTGGCTCATGTGTAACAGGTCATGATGAGAACACTTGCCTAGCGAGCATGAGGCCCAGCTTCTCTCCCTCAATAAAACAAGAAACAGAAATGAAAGCAGATCATTTGACCTCGGACAGACCATCTCACTGATCCCGATGTCTTTACTGATGAAAATCCATGGAATTTGAGGAGATTAAAAACATGCATGTCAGGCACGGTGGTGTAAACCTGTAATCCCATCACTACAGAGGCAGAGGATCTCTGTGAGTTTGAGGCCAGTCTGGTTTACGTAGCAAGTTCTGGGACAGCCAGCACTACACAGAGAGACCCTGTCTCAAAGCAGTCAGGGGAATAAGTATTTGTATGCATTTTTAAGTGAAAACACACATTAAAAAAAAACATAAAGGGGGCTGGAGAGATGGCTCAGTGGTTAAGAGCATTGCCTGCTCTTAAGAAGGTCCTGAGTTCAATTCCCAGCAACCACATGGTGGCTCACAACTATCTGTAAGGAGGTCTGGTGCCCTCTTCCGGCCTGCAGGCATACACACAGACAGAATATTGTATACATGATAAATAAATAAAATAAAAAAAACATAAAGTAGATCTTTTAATTGATATAATACCTAGTGAACAACATTCTAGCTTCATTCCGTTGCTGCGCTAAGACATTCTGAGCCAGGCGGCTGAGGGTAGAAAAGGCTTATTCCAGCTCATGATTGACAGTCCATCATTGAGAGAGTCAGGGCAGGAACTCAAGCAGGAGCTTGAAGCAGTAACCACGGGGGATGCTGCTAACTCACTCCTAGACTCCCGCTTAGCTAGGTTCTTACACAGGCCATGAGCACCTGCCCAGGAATGGCGCCCTTCACACAGTAGTTCCGGCCTTCTTACAGCAGTTAGCAATCAAGGCAGTGAACCGCAGACATGGACGCAGGCCAATCTGATCTGGCCAGTCCTTCAGTTACAGCTTCCTCAGTTGCGGCTTCCTTTTCTAGTGATGTAGGTTGTATCAAATTGACAGTTAAAGCCACAGAGGCAAATATAGTGAAAGTCTGGTTCTCTTTAGAATCTTCCCCTATTCCAAAATAGGGCAGATGAAGGACAATTATTATTGGCCAGCTAATGAGAACCAGGGAGTGCCAAAGATGTGTTTAGTGTTGCTGTGTTCTGAGAATATTTTAAAAATCACATACCGAGAATAAGGGTGCACACCTCCAAACCCAGCACCTGGGAGACTAAAGCAGAATCACCGTGAATGAAGTCAAGGCTAGACTAAGCTACGTGACACGTTCAAGAGAGTATGGGCATTAAAATGGAAGATCCTGTCTCAAAAACAATAGGAGATAGATAGATAGATAGATAGATGCTTGAATAGGTAGATGGATAAAAATGCATGCCTATGGCAGATGAGACAAAAATAAATCAGAACACTGTCATAAAGAACGGAAAATAAGGGCCTGAACCACGCCAAGTAAAAAAGCATAATGCATACCAGGTGGTGATGGTGCACACCTTTAATCCCAGGCAGATCTGCAGAGGCAAGCAGATCTCAGTGAGTTCAAGGCCAGCCTGGTCTACAGAGTGAGTTCCAGGACAGTCAGGCTGTACAGAAAAACCCTGTCTCAAAAAAAAAAAAAAAAGAAATCAAACAAAAAGCATAATATGGCGAGCTGACCAAAAAAAAAAAAAAAAAAAAAAAAAAGTGAGAAGCGAGTTAGACTGCAGGTGTTCGCTTAAGAAAGCCCATGAGAGCCACACAGAGCAGCCAGCATCTCTGACCCCAGGACTGGGTCAGCAGAAACTGGCAGATCCCTTCCAGGTAGCAGGCCAGCCAGCCTAACTGAAACACTGAACTGCAGGCTCAATGAACACCTTGTCTCAGAAAATAAGGTGGAATACAATCAAGGAAGACGCCCCAAGTCCACCTCTGGCCCCCCACACACATGCACACACAACAGCACACACACACACATCTAAACGCATAAACACAGAAGCCAGAGTGATCACGGTAAAACTTACATGTAGTAAATGTTTTGAACAAGAACACTATTTTTCAGAGAAGAACTGCATATGAGGTAGTGAGAACAGGAGAGGGCAAGCCTTTGGAAACCATATAAAACAAAATCCACAGCACTTCACTGGGTCTCCTGAGAACTGGCTCACACCAGTCTTATCCTGTTATTCCCTATAAACACCATTTGACATATATACAATAAAAGCCATCTCCAATTTCAGCAGCTGAGATACTATAAATTCTGAAAAAAAAATAATTTATCTTAAAATTAGCAGGGCTGTGAGTTGCTTTTTAGAGAATGAAAAAATCCAATTAAATGATAACCATTAGCAAAGAGAAGCTTGTAAACTTTAAGTTTCAATAACCCACAGATTTGAATTTCAACACTGTGCTATGCCTTCCTAATTTAATGCAGAAGGCATGACCACTGGCATAAGAGAAGCGAAAGGCAACGTGGATTTTAACCCAACAGTGCGGCAACTTAAACACAGCAGGTGACCTCAGCCAGGTATTTACCCAGAGCCAAAACAAAGCAACTGGAGGATTCTGAACTAATTTCATCATAAACATACTTACTTACAAAGCTATATTTTTAATTAGTAGAGAGTATTACATAATATTATAATAATATTTCTAAAGGCTGTAAGGAATACTTATAAAAATATGAAAATATTGTATTATTTATCATTTGGGTCATCTGTAAAATGGACTTTATAAAAATAAAATAAAGTTTATAATGGGAAAACTCCCTCATTCCAATGTGAAAAAAAGGAGGAAAGAAAACACACAAAGGCTAGCAGGATGGCTCAGCAGACGGTCCTCAAGACCCAAGTTCAACCCCCCAGAGCCCACACAGGGAAGGAGAGAATACACTCCCTACAGAACTGTGTTACATGGCCCTCCACACACAAATAAATAAGTAGATAAATGTAACATTTAAAATTAAAGGAACAAGAGTAAGAGAAGAAAATAAGGTAACAGGCAGAACCTAGAAAGGCAAGACCCCCAATAAACGAGATGAGGCAGAAGAGCAGTGGGAAGACACCCGGAGAAACAGGAGACATCCGTGAACGACAGCTCTGAAATGACGAAATGAGCTTTTGCTCCCCACGGACTCCGCCTGTTGCGTGTGAGCCCACACCTGGCACGCTTTCTTACTCAGGCCTCCTGGTTATCAGTCAATAGCCAACGTAGGATATTATTTTGTAATAGTCCAAAGGGCTATTAGGGGTCAACAGTGAGCGCAACCTTTCTTTTGTGTGTGTGTTTTGTTGTTTTTTAAGATCATGCTTCCAGGGCTGGGAGACAGCAAGGAAAACCTTGTCACGCGAACAGCAACTGCTGAGCTGAGATCCCCAGAACCCAGGTAAGAGTCCAGTGAGCTCGGCGGCCTTCCTGTGATCTCAATGGGCAGGGAACAGAGACTGTTCCTGGGTCTCTGGGGCAAACTGTTACCCCATGAGCTGTGGGTTCATCAAGACCCTGGGTGAGCTGAAGAGAAACTGAGTAAGACATCCACTGTCAACCGTGGGCCTGCACACGTCCAACAACACACACACACGTATGCATACACAAGTGAACACATGGATGCCGCACACACAGAACACGCTTCCAGGTCCTCATGATAATCCTATACTGAGCTCTGCTCTTAATGCTTCAAAATTACTATACGCCTCATTAGATTAAAATTGCCTCGAGTGAATATAAAGTATCAATTCGAATTCTTAGAAGAATTGAGATGAGGGTTTGGTCAGGGCTTTGAGTGGAGTAAGGTTTCTCCAATCACAGACCACAGACACAGAGGAGAGGGAAGTGTTTCTCAAAAAAGACAGACTAAAAAACTGTCAGGGAATCAGCAAAGTTATGCCAGCCCAGGGACTGATAGAACTTCTCATAAAACGAGAAATATAAAAATTAGAAACACAAACTCCTACAGCAGGGAAGGACATTAAGGTTCTGATTAGTCTGTCAAAAATAAAACCTGTCCAAAGCATAGTTGGAAGATTTGGAAAGGTGCCCAGGGCCCGTCCACGGCAGCTGCAGGTCTGCGGGGAGCTCACGCAGCAGTGGCCAGGCTCAGTGCTGGATAACATGCAAGCCAAAGGAAAAGATTTATGCAGTTTACGGCAGAAGCAACATAATAATAATAATAATGAAAATAAAAAGCCTCCTTTGTTATATGACTGGGATGGCTGAGGGACTGTGGACTTACAGCACGATTGCATGGTGCCCACACCTGCAAACGCGGGCAGTAGTTCTGTAAGGACAACAAAGGTCAAGGTGGAAATAGAACTTAAATAAATGAATAGGTAAACAAATACAGTCAACAGGCCACAGGAAAAAGGAGCTCACGTTGTGAAGCCTGAAGACCAACGCAGATGGAACACAGCACTACCCAGACTCCAGTGTCTGCTGCAGAGAAAGGCCAAGGATTATAACGAGCCTCTGATGGGAATGGGAGCATATGGGGCTGGGACGCTAGAGAGGCTGCCCTCCACATGAACGCTGAGCCTCTGATGGGGACGGGAGCATATGGGGCTGGGACGCTAGAGAGGCTGCCCTCCACATGAACGCTGAGCCTCTGATGGGGACGGGAGCATATGGGGCTGGGACGCTAGAGAGGCTGCCCTCCACATGAACGCCTTCTCATTGTCACATACTTGCTCATACAGTAGAGGATACTGCTCAAGATACCTGAGAAACTTCAAAACCTGTAAAATTTTAAACATACGATGCCCTTAAGTTACTGTATCTATGTATTTATCAAAACACTCAGAATTACTTGTGGAAGCACAAAGCAGTGTAAAACAGTTTTTAAGAACGCTTTAACGAACATCCATGATGAAACACAATGATCCCAACTATGTAATGCCAAAAAATATGAGATGGAGACAGCATATCACCAGATTATCAACATTATTTTCCATATACTTGATCACTGAGATAAAACGGCTTTCTAAGCAGTAGAGTACAGCAGAACGAGGCATTCTACTACTGTGATGTGAGACTCTTTAAACATGAGGGGACCGGACTTTAGGGGCTGGAGAGAGTCTCAGCTCTTAAGAGCATGGGCTGTTCTTTCAGAGAACCAAGGTTCGATTTCCAGGATCCACATGGTGGCTCATAAACATCGTAACTCCAGTGCCAGGGGATCGGATGCCTACTTCTGGTCTCCATGCACATGCAGTCAAAAACACTCTTACACATAAAGTAAGTTTTTAAAGTCACTATTATAAAACTTGTGATTAATACAGTGTGTGTCCATTAGAGAGAGAGAGAGAGAGAGAGAGAACAGAGAAAAGTTGTGGTGGTTTTTTAATATCTGTGAGTTCTTTAAAAGGTAAGTTATTCAAAAAATGAAACCTAATACCCATTGTGGAAATATTTTCTTTGTATTTTAATAAATAAAGCTTGCCTAAAGATCAGAGTGCAGAGCTAAGCCACTAGAGGCTAGGCACACACACCTTTAATAATCCCAGGACTGGGGAGACAGAGGAAGATGGATCTCTGGTAGTTCAAGGCCACCTTGGGCTACACAAGATTGAATCTGTCTAAAAGAGAAACAGAGCTCCCACAAAGGTGATTCCAGCACTTGGATCACATGCCTTTAACCCCACCTCTAGGGAGGTGGAGACAAGAGTGATATGGCTGGGCAGACAGAGGAACAGGTGGGAGGAGTCAGGAGCTTAGTGCAGTCTGAGGCAGCAGTCGGTTTGAGGTTGTAGTCGAGGCAGTCAGTCTGAGGATTCAGTTTGAAGATGCAGTCTGAGGTTTCGCAGAGAGCATTCAGTCTGAGGATTCGAAGAGACAGGATTGCCCCTACAGTCTGAGCATTGGTGAACGTAAGAACTCCCTAGTGGCTGACTGTTCTGCTCCTCTGATCTCTCAGCTTTCATCTCCTCATGTCTGACTCTGGATTTTTATTATTAAGACCAATTACAATTCATGCTACAAACCCTCCTCTTAATAGTGGATTAGACTTAGCTGCCTTCTTCTAGCATAAAAAAAAAAAAGCAAATACCCTGTTGTTTTGTCGTTCTGATTCTAGTCAAGAAAAGAATGGCTTCTTACAGGCGTTCCTGTTTTTATGCAAGCCCTTTTACACACCATTCTTGCTTTTATGCAAGCCTGTCCTGCGAAGAAGTAAGACTATATGCCAGGTCACAGAGTCCCCCAAAAAACACCAAGGAATCCAAATTCATATGCAAAAGCAAAGAGTCTTTATTCAACCTCGAGCTTGGACCTTCAGTGTGCCCAGCATAGCAGGACAAGATCAGAGTCTAAGCTTAGTTGTGGTGGGGTTCTTATCATAGCAGAGGTTGGGGTAAGGGTTCTAAGGTTCAGGACCCCTGATTGACATATGTTGCCATGTGAACAAAGTGAGAAAAGCATTAGTTGGGAGCCAGAGTGCTCACAGTGAATAAAAAGAGCATGGGGAAGTAGTGGGTGTGTCTCAGACACAGCCCAAGGCTTTACTACCAATCCTCAGCAGCCGCTGAATGCCGCACAGGGGCATGAAGGAATAATATGAGCCTTGAATATCATATCCCGCAGCCAACAGCATGAGTGTGCTGAGCAAAGACGGAAGCACCCGAAAGAAGCACAGGCCCCTGCGTGAAGGCGCTCACACCAGGCACACACAGTGAAGCCTGGTATAAAACCTCTACCACAGGGAATCAGCACAGACAACTGAGATGGGATCACCTTGTTTTCTGGTCTCATCACTATTAAAGACAGTGTGCGCAGTTCCAAGTGGTAAACTAGATAAAACTAGTTTAATTTAAGTCATCTGTGGTCAAAATGTATTCTAAGCCATGTTGGGGAGAAAGGCTTTCAGAGGGAGAGGGAAGGGATGATAGAGGGTAGTGAGGGGTGAAATTAACCAAAATTCATATTATATACATGTATAAAACTGTCAGAAATTATTGAAAAATATGACCAAGGATAATACTGAAAATGTTAAAGAAATTTCACACTTGTGATTGTGCTCACATGAAGTTCTCGTCGTACTTTCAAAAAAGACCTTTAAATTCATAAATCATGCTTCTACACCAATTTCTACAGTGTAACAGTTGGGCTGCGTTAGTTTTTAATTGTTCACATCTCCATACCCAACTGGAATAAACTGAAGCCCAGGGAAAAAATAGAAAGCCCACAAATTTGAAGAGTGTGTGAATATGCACCCTGTCATACTGGAAAAGTCGGGGAAAATATTAGAAAATGATCCAACCTGCCTCTCGTTCTTCAGCAGGCAATCCTTTCACGTGGATAAACATCTGTGGAGCACCTGATAGATCCCAGACATCACACCATGCTGGGAGAACGAAGGCATATCAGGGCCTCTAACCAATACTCAGGGTTACGCACTGGGCCTCTGAAATGTTCTAGCCTTGTGATGGGGTAAGAGAGACATGAAAATAAAGTAAAGGGCAAAGTAAGAAAGGAGACTGGCAGTCAGATGCCAGAGAAAAACAAACTCCACCCATTCTGGACTCTTCCGTGGTCCTCTGACACTCACAGAACGTCTGAACATCCAAACAGCTGTCAACAAGCTAAGGAGCGCCAGTGGCCTCCTGATACATGCAAACTACCTCCTGATTGCCATCCCAACTCTCTGTTCCCATGGGACAGAGAAGGCCAACTGCTCAGGTTAACGCCTGAGCAGACCTGGCCTCATCTCATCTGCTCTTTCAGGGTCTCGTCATACACCCAACACTCCATCTTCTCGCTTAACCACTTCTCCTGCTTTTCTTCATCTTGGTATTCTGCATCCCGCAAGTCAGCAGAGATGACAGTGGACCCAGCACTCGGGGCTGATCCTGTGAGCCTGAGTTAGATGCCCCACCCCCCCGTGCTCCTGCAGAATCCTGCAACTCCTCTAGCATGGTATCATTCCCATCCTAATTTCTCATCTTTATCTTCCATCAGCTACACAGTCTGTGAGAGCAAAGACTCATTCATGCGACACTTCAGCACCCTGTCCTTGAATGGCCGATGTCTGACATCTCTTTGACCAAGAGGCGGAATGCTTCCTATAATTTATTACTAGTTTTTAATTACTTTATTAAGCTGACCTCATAATTTCTTGTCCATATAAGCTATCAAAAATCATATTTTGAGTGGGATAGATGTTATATATAAATCATGGAAAAAGGGGTTGTCCAAGAAGGCACTTAGCTTAATTCTTTAAAATGATGGGGTTTTCGTTTTGCATTTGGGGTTTTCATTTTGTTTGGGCTTTGATAAGATCATGTGACATAGCTTACTTGGGTTTTCCTTTAAAGTTTTTTGCAAATGTTTTCTTATACTTTGATTTTTTTAATAGTTTTATTTTTAAGTTCGTATGTGCATGTTTCCATTAGTCCGCCTTTGTGAAGATATGCAACTATCGGGGTGCCCACAGAGGCCAGAAGAGGAACAGGAGTTGCAGGGAGTTGAGTCCCTCTCACAGGTCTGGGACCAGGACTCAGCTTCTCCATTAGAGCCAGAAGCTCTTTTATCTAACCTGAGGCATCTCTCCAGGCACTGCTTTGAGTTTTCATTTCTTGGTTGGTTTTACTTTTAGAAGGGGTTCCACTATGTACCCCAGGTTAGCCTTAAACTCACTATGTAACCTAAGCTGGTCTCAGAGTCACAAAGATCCTCCTGCTGTGGCCTCCTAAATGCTGGAGTTAGGGGATGCACTACCACATCCTGGAAGAAAAGGTGACAATTTCTAACCCCAACTCTGAGGGACTCAAAGAGTCCCTGATGCGCATGTGCATGGCCTGAAGTGAACAGGCACAGAAAGGTAGCTAGGAGCCCTCTGATGCCTTCAACATAGCTACTCTGCTTATCTTTAAAGGATGGGATTCTAAGAAAGATTTTCTTTGTGAGAAATTCAGTACATAAGAATGGGAAGGGAAGGGGGAGTTAGAGCCCCTGCTGTAAAAGGATCAGCGGTGGATGAATGTTTGCAGAGTAATTCAAGTCCTAATGTCTTCCATATTTTCTCATTACACTAAATTCATCTCTGTCAGGTTTATGGGTCTGTATTTGAGACAAAATGAGAAATACCATTAGAATGCAGAAATATACCAGCAGAGGGAAAAGAACTTAGGTTCCGAGGAATATATTTCTGGTCTCATGCAGCTATTTCTAAATGTACCTATCTTTACTATACTTAATGGCATTGTTTATATACAAATCTTCAAGTTAATGAGTCATAATATACAATGCCAGGATGATCTAATTGAGCAACAGAACAGCCCCACTGTAAATGCCAACTGCAGCTGTTTTATATATTGCAGATAAATAGCCCATTGCACTAAAGACGGGAAAAGGTCCACCAAACTCACGTCTCATGGGAAGTTTCAGTTACTTGGCAATCAAGAAACACCAAGGGAACAGGCAAGTGAAACTAGGAGTGGTTCATCATTTAACCTTCAAAAAATCACGGGGAGGGGATCGGCATGCTGGGGCACACTGAAGTAACGGCGGAGATGGAATCCCCCCCACCCTGTGCACGACACAGTGCTGAGGAATGGGAGCCAAGGAAACACCTGCAATCCAGGCTGAGCTCTGCAATGTAACAGTTAGGTGGATCGGAAACCCTTGGAGCTGAACACACATAATTATGAGATCTGCTGAGCCGAGAAGGCACCAACCTAATATTCCTCTCTTCTGGGAAATCTCAGGAGGCTCCTGGCTGGCAGAGCCCTCTTCCTCCTCCTGCTCCTCTGGCTCTCTACCCACACCTGTGTCTGACACCCAGCCCTGTCGGCTGTCATTCTACAGGGATGTCCACTCCCGCGTGCCCCCAAGACTCATGGCTTTGTCTACAGCCTGACGTTCTTAGAGTTTTCCTGAGCATGTTCGAGCACTAGAATAAAATTATAAATGTATCTTGGGTGTTTATTTAATTGTAGATGAGGTTTTTATCACTACCCATTTACAGTATCGATAAAAAGTCAGCTTGGTATGATTTGCAGTAAATGGCAGACATTCCTTCCTATGACAGCCAGAAGAATAAGGAAGTGAACCAGCAGATTCCATCATCTGGCAAGCCACCGACCTGCCTGATAATGACAAGGCTTGCATGTGTCACTTCTAAAGAAGATGCCTGGCTACTCCTAGGTCGCCCCTTTTCCCTCTTCCCACAGCCAGCATGGAACTAGAACTAAGAAGACCTGGATGAGTTGCACCAGCCCAAGAAGCAGGCAATGAATGTCATGTGCAGATGTTGGCCTCTCAGGGAAGAAAAGCCCTCCCTGGGGACCAGGTCGCCTACCTTCTGTGTCCCAGCATCCCCATCACTTCTGATGGCTGCTGCTGCAAGGTCAGCACACTCGAAAGTGACCTACACCTCTAATGATGATACTGCTCCATTTTATTGATCTAATCTTTTCTTGGTACCCATAATGATTTAATAAAAACACACATCAAGGATCTGATTAGATATCATGGGAGCAAGAAACACACTTGGCAAGCCTTCTATTACACTCCTACTTTCAGTAACAAAGACAAATGCAATTTCATTAATCAAAAATGTAGCGCAAATAATAAATAAAACTTATTTATTAACTTATTTCATACTAGCCACCAGAAAGGTTATTTTCATCTTAACAGCCTAATAGCCCTAAGAATAATTCTCTAATTTCCCCCATTTTGTAAGAAACTCATTTTTATTGTCTCATCAACATCAAATGATACTAGTATTATAATGGCTATTACAATAAATGGCTTAGAAAGAAAATCCAGTAATAATTTGATAGGTTTTGGTGAATATATGAGCTAGATAAAAATATATGAGCCATATATAAATTTGAATACATTTAAATTAATATCCATCAGCTTTGAATAATGAAGTTGTTCAGAACCTAATGTAGCTTTGTTCTGAGGAAAAAAAATCATCCAAAGACCTTTACTAGCTGAGTAACTTATTAATTTTAAAATAGTTATTTTACTTCTCCATAGCAAGCAAAAACAGTCATAATGAAATCACAGATGAAAGTCAGTTATAGAAGACATTAGATGAAGTTAGGGATAAGAGAGATGACTCAGTGGTTAGAAGCAGCAGGACCCCGGTTCGACTCCCAGCACTCACACGATGGCCTGTAATCTTCAGTAATTCCAGTTCTGAAGGACCTAATGTAGGCACCCGGCATGCAGTACAATAGGAATGGTGCTTTCATTGTGACAATGGATACAGTGAGGATTGTTTTCAGTTTTCTTTTCTTTTTTTTTTTTTTTTTTTTTTTTTTGCTTCAAAAAGTGACATTTATTCAAAGAGAGAAAAAAACAAAAAACAAGATATCCATCCCTTGGCTCCCTTCCCTCCCCCCTCCAGCTGTTCCTCAGTCCCCCAGGACTGGACCCTGGCTATGGCCAGGTAGCAGGACAGCCCCTCAAATGAGGTCAGCAACATTGAGGGGCATCTCTTTAATGGAAGTGTTGTAGAATGTCTCGATGTCTCGAAGAGTCCTCTTGTCCTCTTCTGTCACCATGTTAATGGCCACACCTTTACGGCCCAAGCGACCGCCACGGCCAGTTCTGTGGATGTAGTTTTCCCTGATTGTGGGAAGGTCGTAATTGATGACTAGGGAGACCTACTGCACATCAATGCCTCTGGCCTAGGTCAAGAAAGATGGTAAGAGCTGTCAGAAGGTAATCTACCCAGACTGACTAGGCGTACATGTAGGCAACCAAAGGCAGGCAAAGGCAACAAGCAACCCTTGTTCCCCAGACCTCAGGTATGCCAGATTTTCTTCCAAGTTGCTACGTTCCTGAAAGGGGCACTGGTCAGCCCCTTGGAGAGGGAATCACCTTGGATAATGGTTTTCATTTTTAATAAAGATAGTGATTCATTGTGAACAAAATCAGTCAACGTCAGTTTCCGAGAAGTTGTGCCTAAATCCCCAGACTCTAAAGAAAGTCTTAGTTTGTTTTTTATTTATTTATAAATAAATAAATATAAATATATAATTTATTTATAAATAAACAGTGTTCTCTCTGCCTAGGTACCAGAAGAGGGCATCAGATCTCATTACAGATGGTTGTGAGCCACCATGAGGATGCTGGGAATTGAATTCAGGACCTCTCGAAGAGCAGCCAGTATTCTTAACTTCTGGGCCATCTCTCCAGCTAAAGAAAGTCTTAATTGAGAATTAATTAACTAATTAAAAGTGAAAGTTGTAAGTAACTACTTCATTGCAAGATCAATGAAACAAAAGTTTCAGATTAGTAAAGAATATTTAGTGATATCTAAAATATCCTACCACTGTATTAAAGAGAGTAAAACAAAATACATGGCATTGTAAGTATCTCATTGAAATGCTACACCGAACCAAGGCCTGACCCTAGGAACAGCCTGTGGCCTGGGGAAGCACTGCTCAGCTAGGTACCTTCCTGTCAGGCCCCACTCCAGCAAACCTGAGGCAGAAGGAAAGCACCAAATGCTCCAGTGTCATCGGCGAAACTGAAAGACAGTCAACTCCGCAAACATGAATGCCAAGTGTTTTCAAGTGCAGAGAGCAGTGACACAGGAAATCTCTATGCGACATCGATTAGTAGGACGACGTAACTGGGGTTGTCTGTGGACTTGGTGAGTGCAGAAGACCCTAACTAACCACGCTGTCCTTTCAGTTTCTCGGTGACCTAGATCTTGAAATTTCAGTCGGAAACAAAAGGCCAAAAGACACGCGCACTCCAAAGCACTGTGCCCTTTTCGCGGTTTCCCCTTTCCATTTATTACCTGATCTTTAAGCACTCAAGTAGGAGCCCGAAAGACTCAACAGTATGTACCAAATATAAAATTATCACTGCCAGAAAATCAACGTGACCTTTCAAGCACCACGTTTCCTGCAATCATTTCGTTAATACTGGAAAAACATTTTTCAGTGTTCGAGGCATAATCTTCATGTACAATACTGCCAGCAAATATAAAAGCAAATACAGAGCAAAGTACTTGAAAATCAACCCTCCTTTTAAATCCAAACTGCAGCTGAGTTTAAACGACTTCTGCTTCTGCAGTACTTTGCCTACTGAACACTCGAAACTCCATTAATATGCTCTACTTTTCAGATACCGTCTTACTATAACTGCCACCAAACAACCCTGTCATCTCCTGCAACTGACAGGTCCTACTTAAAACAACCTGATGTTCAACTTGGTCACATTAATATGAGAACAAAACTCTGTACTGTTGGACTAGGGATATGACTTGGTGATAGAGCACTTGCTTGCTCATCTCTGCAGGAACGAAGCAGAACACATAATAACATGCACACTCCAAATAAGTAAACAAACAAACAAATAACCAGTAAAGTATATGTTAGGCCAAGTGCTGACTTGGCACTCTCTGTGAATTAATAAGATTCATAACCTTAAGGCACTAGCCCTAAACAGCATATTTTCTAACCAGTCAAACCCTGAGTCAAAAACACTCCAGAGATGTGCTAATGAGAGGCTCAGCGGATACAGGTAAGCCTGATAACCTCAGTGGGATCCCCAAAACTGACGTGCTGGGAGGAGAAACCACTCAAGTGTCCTCTGAGCTCCTTATGTATGCCAAGACACACAGGGCAAACACAGAAATAAATAAATATAAATTTATAAAATACTCTAAACAATCATAAAAAAAATCAAGTTGTAATGATGTTACCAGGAAGTTAAATTTTTTTGAAAGTGTGTCCTAATTTGCTTTCTACTGCTGTGATGAAAGACGGATGAAAACCAACTTGGAGAGGAAAGGATTTATTTGGTTTACGTGTCCTGATCACTCCTGCACTGAGGGAACTCAACGCAAGAATTCAAATAGAAGAGGCAGGAACCATGGAGGGATGCTACTCCTTGCTTGCTCAACTTTCCCAAGACCACTTGCGTGGCATTCTGCACGATGTGCTGGTGCCTGCCCGTATCAGTCATGAATCAAATAAATGTCCCATAGACATGCCACAGACCCAATTCCTCTATCGAGGTCCCCTTGTCTCAGGTGACTCTAGTTTGCACAGAGACACAGAGAGGTAGAGTATTTTATTTCCATATCTAAATCACACATTTCATAAATGCAAAAAATGCTAATAGATGTCAAACTTTGGCCAAGACTAAAACACACATCAAATAAACCAACACTCCTAAACTTTTTGCTGCATGAGCAGATAGTAATACTTGAGAATGTAAACAAAGCTTATCACACACTCCCTTAGTGGTGGTTTGAAAAAAAATGCCCCCAAAGGGAGTGGCATTATTAGGAGATGTGTGTGGCTTTGTTGGAGTACGTATGGCCTTGATGGAGCGAGTTACCATGGAAGTAGGATTTGAGGTGGCATAATATGCTCAAGCCACACCCAGTGTCTCAGACCACATCCAGTTGCCTGCAAGATGCAGATCTATCAGCTACCTCTCCAGCATCATGCAGATCTATCAGCTACCTCTCCAGCACCATGTCTGGTTGCGTGCTGCCACGTCCCACCATGATGATACTGCACTAAAACTCTGAACTGTAAGTGAGCCACCACAATTAAATGTTTTCCTTTATAAAAGTTGCTGTGGTCACAGTGCCTCTTCACAGCAATAGAAACCCTAAGACACTCTTTCCCAGCAGGAGACAACATTAACAATACAAATGAACTCAGAATTCCGCCCCTCTTTCTTTCTCTCTCCTCCCTCTCTCTCCCATCCTCCCTAAGTCAGTAGCATACTTTACAATATTAAGAAAACAAACAAACAAACAGCTATGGGAACTGTGTCACAAACACTAAGAAGCTCTCGCTGTAGCCATCCTCACAAGCGAAGGATATCTCAATCAGTAACTGCTCTACTGATTACATAACCCTGGCTGTCCTAGAACTCTATGTAGATCAGGCAACCCTTAAACTAGGAGACCTACCTGCCTCTGCCTCCC